CCTGCCCTAGATGGCCACTTTCCTGTGCCTAGTGCAGAGGTCGTGGACGAGGTCCATGATGTCCACACTAGCCCAGGAAGGTGCCCGCCTCTTGCGGTCCAGGGCAAGCTCCCGGGAGCCGCCAGCCTGGTCCCGGCAAGAGGGGGTGGGCTGGGAGGCATCGGGTGGGTGGCTCTGTGCCGTGCCAGGTGCAGGGTCTGCTAGCTGGGTGCTGGCAGGCTTGCACCTGGCACGGGCACCGTAGCCAGCCCGTGCCCCTTTAAGGGGTCTGGGGCTGGTAGGGGGGCAGTAGAGTTTCCCTGGTGTTGGCCAGAGTGGCCACCAGGGAAACCTGGGGAGGGCTAGCCTCCCACTAGTTCGAATTAAGGGGCTACACACCCCTTAATTCGAACTAGCTAGTTCGAACTAGGCTTAATCCTCGTGGAATGAGGATTACCTAGTTCGAACTAAGCGCTCCGTTAGTTCGAATTAAATTCGAACTAACGGAGCGCTAGTGTAGCGCCTATGAAAGTTAGTTCGAACTAACGTCCGTTAGTTCGAACTAACTTTGTAGTGTAGACATACCCTATTTTGCCTTGAATGGTCTCAGAATATGTGAGCTACAAATTTGTTACACCTTGTATTTAATTGTGAATGTCTGAGGCCTGGTTGACATAAGAGAATTAGGTCAGTATAAGTACATTGCTCAGGGGTGTGAAAATCCACACCCCCTGAACAGCACAGTTAAGTTGACCTAAGAACCCATGTTTACAATGCTAGATTGACAGAAAAAATTCGTCCATTGACCTAGCTACTGCTTCTTGGAGAAGTACACCACTTACTCCAATGGAATAATCCCTTCTGCAGATAGTGTAGATAGTGTACATGTACTACTGCAGCGGCACAACTGTGGTGCTATAACATTTTAAGTGTAAACATCGCTTGAGTATCTTTCCCAGATCTGAAGAAAAGTTTGGTGTAGTTCAAAAGCTTGTCACTTTCATCAACAGAAGTTGGTCCAGTAAAATAAATAATCTCACCTACCTTTTCCTTATAAAAAATATAAATAATGTAAACCATAAGACAAAGTTTATAAATATGTCCCAATGCAGAGTGAAAATATGTGAGCCCAAACTATTATCACTTGCAATGACAATTACTTGCAGCAACAAATTCATCAATAGGATTTAGGTATGAAACTCCTGGACCACAGAAGTCAATGACAAAACTTTTATTGGCTTAAATGGCTGCAGATTTCATCCTAGATGTCTAAACACTTGAGTTAAATAAACAGTTGCTGATGCAAATATTTGATTCTTGTAAAATATGAAACTCTTATTTGGGCCAGCAAATGATTCTGCAAGCAAATTTACTGGAATAAATTTAGAGGCCTATTTTCAAAATTTGAAAAATCTGAGATTGATTTAGGGTAATAAACAGAGGCAGGCAAATAACTGAGTTTTCGATGCAGTAACTAAACTGAAAAAATAGTATTGGGTTGACCAAAAATGGAATTTTTTCAATTTTTATTGCCAAAATGAAAAAAGGGAAAATAATGTTTTGAGTGAAATAAAATGTTCAACGTTTTGTTCAACCTGAAATATTTTTTTCTTTTTCCAGATATATTTTTTAATTTGTTTGTTTTAAAAAAATAAATCTAACTTAATTTCTAAACAAAATGTCATTTCAAAAAGTCACAACATTTCATTTTGAAAATGTCAAAATTAAACATTGTGGCGTTTTCAAAATTAATTATTTTTCTCCTTCACTTCAAACACTGTTAGTCAATTTGGCTCAATTTTGTATCATGGACATTCCTGTTTATGCAGATGGGGCACTCTTTGAGTTTTGCAGCACCCAGACAGTAGAGAGCAGTCATCAGTATCCCCAAAACAGGTGCTGACCCTGGAAAATACCAGGGTCTTTTGTACGTGAATACCAGCTAAAAGCTGGTGAAGGTTTCAAAAAACAAGACTGCCATCGCTACCAATGTGCCAAAGATCCTGACTCAATCTAGGCCAGGGTGGAAGTTTGAGCTTCTTGACCCATTCAGACTTTGGCCTTAGTAGTGAGAACAGAAAGTCACTTGGTAGCAACAGCGATAGCAATTCTTGAGACATGGAAGTCCATCCAACAAAAATTGAACTGAGATCAACAACGCATTTTGCACAGACCACTAGAGACCCTTCAGGTAAAAACAACTTTTGATTACATACTGACCAGAGGTGCATTTGACACAACAAGCTATAAGACCATCATCCACCCAGTTCTTCTTCTTCTCTGTTCCTGTAGTAAGCTGGCCAGTAGCTTGCATAAACTCTCACTATTCTAAGAACTGCACTATGCCACTGCAGACTTCTGTGTTTGTGAATCTATTCATAAATTAGTTTTGTTTAAAATGTCCAGCTGCAGAGACTTGGCAAGAAGGCTGCCACATACCACAAGCGCTAACTCAGTTGTCACTCTGAGTATGGGGCTTTTATACAGAGTGACATTTCCTGATTGATGATGTACCTAAATATGGTGTCTATGTAACAAATGCATATGAGTGAGTAAGCCTAGTCCATTCCCAAACAAAAATCATGCCCAGGAGGGGGGTAAAAAAAAATCAACACACACATTAGGAAGGTGAAAGGTCAGGTGAAGAAACTTTCCCCATTAACCTTTTAAGTGCTGGTAGGCTGGAAACAGAAGTGGCTTGATCAAAAATGCATGCAGAGCTAAGGGCCTGACTCTTACCTGCCTTGCATCAAGTGGTGTGGTGTGTTCATGTTTAAGGGAGTGTGATTTTGACTTGGTAGCATTTTAAAACAATGTTCTCTCTATTTTTTCCATCCATGTATGGAATACATTTTGTTACATGCATCGAGGCATGTGCAGCTGTGCACCACCAGTAGAAACACATACAGATGGCTGTGGGAATTGTGCAGGGGTGGGCAAAAGGGCCTCTGCGGGCCAGATCCAGCCCGTCAAGTGGGATGATCCAGCCCGCAGAGGCCCTCCCACTCCCAGGCTAATTAGGGCCTGGGGGCAAGGGAAACGCATGAAGTTCCCACCACCCTGCCAGGAGTATGCGACGCTTAGAAGTACCATGTGCTCCTGGCAGGGTGGGAGAAGACTTCTCCCCCTCCCACACCCCCAGGCCAATCAGGGTCTGGGGGCAGGGGAGCGCACAAAGTTTCCCCCACCCTGCAAGGAGCACATGGTGCTTAGAAGCACCACACGCTCCTGGCAGGGTGGGAGGAGACTTTGAGCACTTTTCCGCCCTCAAGCCCTGATTGGCCTGGGGTCGTGAGAGCGCACAAAGTCTCCTCCCAAAACTAGGGGCATGGGTGTCTAGGGGGAACCTCTGGGGGAGGCAAAGATTTCACATGCTCCCCCACCCCCAGACCAATCATGGTCTGTGAATGGGGAAGCAGGGAAGTATACTGGCCCCACCCCTTCCATGCGGTCCAGGGCCATTTAAAAAATTTCTAAAGTGATCCCCGGCAAAAAATTATTGCCCACCTCTGGCATTGTGGGTGCTTTGCTCATCAGCTGCATGGCATTTGACTCTCTCCTGGGTGGCCGCCCAAGTGATCAGCTTACAGGGAACACTTTCACACCGCCTTTCCACAAGTGTGACAGCCACAGGGCAGAATGAGACTCTTAGTTTCCAAAGGATTGTTGTGAGTTTGCTGTATCCTTATTTTTCTACATTCACTCCCACAGCTGCTTGTGGCTCTCATAACCTTTCTCCCTACAAACCACTCTGTGAGGAAACCTCTTGGCCTCCACCTGCCCTCCTCAAATCCCAAACACCCCCCCAATAATGACGAGAGATTGGTTCTTTCTTTTGTTTTTCTTCTGATAAGAACATAAGAATGGCCATACTGGGTCAAACCAAAGGTCGTCTAGCCCGCATAGGTGTGTGCACGGGGTGTGCCGGGTGTGCCTAGGCACCCCCTAATGTCTCGGGCCGCTAGCGGCTGCTGGAGGAGGAGAGGGATTTGTGATAGGGCACCACAAACCCTCACTTTAAATTCCCCACGGCCATCTACGGGGCACTGTGGGGCAGACGTCACCAAGGGACAGGGTGGAGAGACAAATTCCAGGGAGAAAAGTGGAGACAATGAGGAAAAGGACAGGAGGGAGGTGTCAGTGGGTGGGGAGGGGGGGTGGCAAGGTGATGCTGGGAGAGGAGAGGGTAAGGACATTGGGATCTAGAGGGGGGAGGGGGAGGTGCTGGGAGAAGGCTTGAAAGAAGGGGTGGGCATGAAGAAGGCAGGGATGGAGCAAGGCATGTATAAGGGCACAGAGGCATGAGGGGAATGGGGGCAGAGGGTGGTGAGGAGGTGGGCATCAGGGAAAAAGGGGGCAGGGGCAGTGAGGGAAGGGGGAAGCACCAGGAGGGTGCAGGGGTAAGGGAAGGTGCAGGTGCCAGGGGATTCTGTGGGTGAAGCAGAAGGGCATACACCTGCAGGGGAGGGACCAGCACCAGGGGAGAGAGGCAGAGCGGGTGTGTAGAGGGAGGTGTTAGGAAAGAGGATGAGGAGGGGTAGCTCACATGATCAGAGTGGGGCTACTGGAGGAGTGGGCACAGGGGGGAGAGAAGGGCTGGTGGAGGGGGACAGGTCTCAGGAAGGCTGAGGGCAGTGAGAAGGGCCAGAGTCAGGACAACACAGAAGGGTGAGGGGTTGGGGCACGAGGCACCAGGGGAGCTGATGGAGCAAGGGGAGGAGACATGGCAGCAGAGGGAAAAGGTAGAGGTTTATGAGATATTTATTAATAACTTGGGTGCCACAGTGACACATCCAAACAAGCCACATGAACTCAGTACTCGTGCACAACACAAAATTCATTCTGCTCATGGGAGGAAACTCTTAGAGGGGATACTTCCCCCAGCCTCTCCACCCCCGAGTTAATGTCACACACATTGGAGTAATGCAACTGCAGGATAGTTGCATGAGGGGAGTTTGGATAAGAGTAAACTAATCCCTATTGGTAGGAGGATAGTGGGAAAAGTCTTTGGGAGGGGAGGGCAGATGACAGCTTTTGGTCATGTGTCCATTTTGCCCAGAGAGTATTACCTCCAGAGGTGTGGCTAATGGGGGTCAAAGTACACTTTTGAAAAATTCTTTGGGTGCACACCCTAATGAAATGTGCTGCGCATGCCTATGTCTAGCCCAGTACCCTGTCTGCCAACAGTGGCCAATGCCAGATGCCCCAGAGGGAGTGAACACAACAAGTGATCCTCACATGATCCATCTCCTGTCATCAAATGAAGATCAACAGCTGTGATCTGTGATCAACAGCTCCATAGTTTCTTTGGGCATGTCTTTACTGGCCGCGCCAGAGATTGACGCTCTGGCCTTTGATTTAGCAGGCCTAGTATAGACCTGTAAATCGAAAACTGAGGGTGGCTCCAGCCAGTGCCTGTATTCCTCACAGTCATGAGGAGTAAGGGAAGCTGACAGGAGAGTTTGCTTCAGTCGGCCTCCTGCTGTGTAGACACCACCAAGCCCGACTTAAAGTAAGCTGACTCCAGCTACGTATTTTATGTAGCTGGAGTTGCGTACCGTAAGCCGACCTTCCAGGTCTAATGTAGACCTGGCCTTAGAGAAGGATGAATTCTATTTTCTATTTCCTCCAACGTATTCTCCCTCTCTTCCTAACAGGAAGCTGCCTGGAGGAAAACTGTCCTCCCTCCCATAGATCCCCTGGTGGCAATGAAAACAGACAGTTCATCACAGGGGCCTGACCTGATCATATGGGACAATGCTCTGTCTCTCACACACACACCGTCCTCACAGGTTGAGTGGCAGAACACAAACACACCCTCTGCAGTCAACTGGTGGTCCATGGTCCGTATTCTGGAAGTCCTGGAAGGAAGAAACAGACTCTCTCAATTCTAGTCCAACACCATTTTTGTGTTTTCAATTACAGATCGTTCTCTCCACCTCACTGCACACAGACAACAATTATGAGTATCCTGTTCAGGGCTACTTCCTTACCCTGGGTCACTACGGGATGTAGCTTCTGACAGGAAGCTGAGCGGCGCGTGAGTCGGCAAGGATGGAGCAGATCTGGGAATCATTCCCAGCATGTGGAGGCTTCATTCGGCTGCAAGCGAGGGCAGTTCCCAAAGCAAGTGGAAAATGGGCTTCAACTCCCTGCGGTCTTGCTGTGGTTTGCTTGCCTGGCAATGTTATTTCTGAATAGCATTAAGGAGCTATGTGTGTCTTGTTCTGTTTTGTAAATCCAATAACTAAACCTGTCCCACTTCTGGGTGGTCCTTGAGAAATACCAGCAAACCACACCAAGGCCATGTGATATAATAATCATAATAAACATTGGGTTTGCTTTGACAAGACACCTCAAAATCAGCTTTTCAAGAAACGGGATGTTTCTACCAGGATGGCCACTCCCTTCATTTTTCCCCCCTATTCCCTCCTCTCACCCACTGTCCTTGTTCTTCTTGCTATCCCTTTCATTAACTGGTAAACCAGAGTTACTGGTCTGGAAAATGAGCTTCATTGATGCATTGGCACTTAATTTATTATAAGATTTAGAAGTGGTATGGTATGCAAATGCCTTCCAGTTTTAAAAAGTCAGATCTGGACTGCAAACAGGCTGACAGGGTTTGAGAACAAGAAAAAGGCATGATGCTAAAAGCTGGCTATTATAACACACATGTAAGCATGGTTTCCTTCTGTTTTTCTAAACATTTTGTGGGTAGAGCTAGTGTTCAAGGACTAATACTCTGAATAGAGCTAACTATAATGTTGCCAGGTGCTGAGCTTGCCCACACACCCAAATCTCTGCCAATGCACCTCATTCCTGACATGCAACACCCACTGCCATTCCATTCCTGGGCCCCCCACACATAACACTTGCCAATGTGCTTTATCTGGGAGCTGCCACGCCTACTAGACCAGAGCCTCTTCCATATGTCACTGCACTTCCATGCTAATTCATATCACTCCGGCTATCCTACACTTAGAACTCTCTTTAGCCAACGCTACTGTCCTACATTGTGCAGTGCTTTTGTCAGAAGGACACATTTCCACTAAGGGATAGCATGACACCATCAAATGCCTTTCACTTCTGAACAATGCAAGATTTTAACATAGAACTGCAAGCTGCTTAGGTATTGACACGCATTCCCATTTAGCTTCTTGCAGAATCACAGAGGTTAGAGAAGGAAAAAATAGCAGATAGTGCAGCCCGTCTCCCTACAAACCATCCATAAACATAGTGGCTACGTCTACACTGGCCCCTTTTCCGTAAGGGGCATGTAAATTTCACCTATCGTCGTAGGGAAATCCGCGGGGGATTTAAATATCCCCCGCGGCATTTAAATAAAAATGTCTGCCGCTTTTTTCCGGCTTTTAAAAAAGCCGGAAAAGAGCGTCTAGACTGGCCCCGATCCTCCGGAAAAAGCGCCCTTTTCTGGAGGGTCTTATTCTTACTTTGAAGTTTTTTTAAAAGCCGGAAAAAAGCGGCAGACATTTTTATTTAAATGCCGCGGGGGATATTTAAATCCCCCGCGGATTTCCCTACGACGATAGGTGAAATTTACATGCCCCTTACGGAAAAGGGGCCAGTGTAGACGTAGCCACTATGTTAAAGGAAAAATTATTAAAATATATCCCTAATAGCTTCCAGTCCTTTGCAGTAACCACTACTCATAAAGTGCATTTACATAACATCCTTCCACTCAAAGCATTTCAAAATTACAGTATATATGCACGCACACATTACTGGCATGCAGTCATCTCTTGATGGAGAAGAACTAAATTTCCATCCTAAGGAGACAACATGCTGGCCAAGGACATTGGGCCAAATTCCCACTTTTAAGAAAAAAAATCCATTTAATATCTATATGGATCCAGAACAATGTTATTTTTAAGGACCTGATCCAAACCCCACTGAAGTCAATGGGAGGCTTTAATTTCCTTCAGCAGCCTTTGGAGCAGATCTTAATTGCACAGACATATGTCTATGATCTTATTTACCATTACATCTGTTTTGACCAATTGCCACAGTACTAAAAGTATTGAGGCAATTAATGTTAACCTCTGAAAAGGAGGATTTCTTTCTTTCTTTCTTTCTTTCTTTCTTTCTTTCTTTCTTTCTTTCTTTCTTTCTTTCTTTCTTTCTTTCTTTCTTTCTTTCTTTCTTTCTTTCTGATATATTGACTCCAGCTATATATTTAACATAGCTGGAGTTGTATATGTTAATTTGACCTTCCCACGTAGTGAAGACGTGGCCTCAGTTACTGACTTACAACTAGAGGTGTTCTGGGTAAAATCAAAGCACCTTTCCCCCACAGTCTTCATCCTTTTTGCAACTCAACCTGAAATTTTTTAGACTTTGAAAAAGTTTATTAACTTTTCTTCATTATGTTTCTTTCCCACAAGTACAAAACGGCAGGGCAAAACCGGAGCACTGAAAACACCCGTGGTCAAAATATCCATTACAACATCCAGGCTGCCCTGGGCTCCTATAAGTGAGAAATGCCAGCCACACTTACAAATAATGGCCCCAGGATGTCTCCATGGAGTCAGACTCACCACCCTGTTGGTCCCTCTCCTCTTCTGTACCAGGCAAGCTCTACCCTGGCTCCCCTAATACATCAGTTTGGCACACATGGCCTAGTTTGCTCCTGCTGCTTGGGAATGATGAATCAAGCAACAAGGGAGGGTTGGGCCTAGCTGCCTGGGTGGAAGGGGCCACTCTTCACAGGCCCAGGTAGAGAGTTCTACATCTGTAAGGACAAAAGGTCAATCCCATTATTCACAACAATCTGTGAACAATTATAGTAGGTCAGGGGAATAGGAGGTAGGAGCTCAGCCATTAATATTTAGCGGGGTGGAGGAAGGAAGACATAGAGATGAAAGCCAAGCACCCTTTTGAATCACAGCCAAAGTTTTATCAGCCATATAACAAAGACAACCTCATATCCTGTTCAGCTAGACACATGCTCTTTGATTACATTACATTCAGTTCCGTCCTCAGTTGTGACAGATCCTGTGAGACTCACATATAATATCTCCTGCCTGGAGTGGCTCAAGCAACAACAAGAAAAAATACTGTGTGAGTCACAGCCCACTGAAATTGCATCCTAAAGAGACCTGCTTAATACAGTAATTACCAAATGATTGTGAACCCCAGGGTCACACATGGCTCATAGATCATTGTAAGCGTTAACATTAAAATGGACTCTTAAGTGGACACAAGCATCATGGAAATCAGAGAGCAGATTGTGGGCATGGCACTGATCCGGCATCCCGATACAGAACAATTATGCTGGATTTTGATGGGAAACGGGCTTAGGGAAACCTGTCCTACCAAGCTTATAAATACAGTGAAATCCCCAATTATATTGAAGGTAATGGAAAACTGGAGTATCCTTGTGACTTCCCCAGTGACTCTGTCATGTTAATCTTCTAATGATCCCTTCTGCTGCTTTTTGAGGGGTCCACATTCAAATCTCATTTATGCCAGCATCAATCTAGAGCCACTTTGTCTAATAGATCTCAACCCAACCCTGTTTTATTTTGCTTGGAACATGATTGTTAGCTTGTTTTGACCACTTGGAGAGATCCTTGATGTGCTTTGACTTGCTTGCATCAAAAATGTAAATAACAGTGCTAAGTACAACAATTAACATTGTGTCATTACAGATGTTTGTTTCTCTTGAAGGAGTTTGGAATTTGAGTGGGAGTGATGGAGAAAAGGCAGAAAATGGCAGTTAATTCATTTGAAAGCAAAATACCCCTCTTGAGTTTTTTAAACAGCTCAAGCTGCTCCCATTTCTGTTTGGGATGTCAACAGAAACCCTTTATTGGATCGCAGCATTGTTATCCATCATCTGCCGTCTGCTATTTTTTTCTCTACTATATAACAGGCGGGGCTTTGGTAAAGCAGTATGCGAAGGCAGCTGGAATCTTGAATCATTACAGCCCCATTTGAATGGAAGCCAGTAAGTTTGAGATTGCTTGAATTTTTCATACGACTTATCTCGCCCAAGTCTGAAGATAATGTCATCTAACAGTTGTAGGTTATAACTTGTAAACAGCAAGATAACCTTCACTGTCGAGTAAAGGCATAAATGCCATTAGCCGATAGAAAGGTGATTTAATTCAATCTAGCCATTTGCTTGCAAGTCTGAATGTATGGTATCAGCTGTGATGAAATGAGTGTTTTCATAAGATAGACATGTACAACTAACATAGCACAGAACTCGGCAATCTTCAAAGGGCACCAAGTTTGTAGCCTCTTTAAATTTTCTGGCAAAAACCAAACATTTGTCTTTCTTATCACTTTCACTCAAATGATGTGTTTTTGCAATATTACATCAGGTTAATTTGCCAGAAGAAGAGTCCAAAATAAAAGCACAGAGAGATGAATTCCACCTTCAGTTACAGCAGAATAACTCCATCACCTCCACTGGAGTTTCTCGGGACTTACACCCATATACCTAACAGACAGCTCTTGATACTGCTAATACATAGTTTTTATACTATCATTCCAAAGACTCTGTGGTCTGATATTTTCCAAGTGAGAAATTTCAGATGAGAGGCTCATAGCTAATGTAATTAAAGAACTGACAAGGGATAACTAATAATATGACACCTGTCATACCAGCCACGTTATGCTAAAATAACAATGCAGTTCACTCGATGTTCCCTGCAGTTTGAGAAGTGAGGCTTCAGGAAATACACGTATGCATTGATGGGTCACTTTTATTTTCTGGTCTTCTTTAAAAACAATTCTTGGATGTTCTTACTTGTGTTCCCATTTAACTTTTTCAGTACTAGTGCTGCACTACACTGGCTGCGTTGTTCTCATCCATTAAAGCAATGTTAGGGTATGTCTG